AACATTGGAAAAATGTCCAATTACGCAGTGGTTCCCAATTGCTGTAGAAACAGGTCGTTACACTAAGCGTCCCACTCCCAAAGCAGATAGACAGATAGAAAATGTTTATTTTGTCTAGAAAATGTCATTGAAGATGAATGTCATATTGTTATGAATTGTGCCGCTTATAATGATAGTCGCCAATTTATGTTTAACAAAATAGAACAATATTGTACTTTGTTTTATTTCTTAAATCCTTTAGATCAATTTTATTATATTAGGAGGTATGCTCAGCATGATTTAGCTAAGTTTAGCCGACCCCACCCCCTCACTAAAAAGGTCATAACTTCACCAATTTTGACCCCAAAGGTATAATTTTTGTTGCAAACGAAAGTCTAACATGTCTTCTATCTATTTCAGTCGAAAACAGATTTTTCAAAAAAGTTTCGAGATAATCGACTTTGAAGTTTCACCCGAATTTTCAAGAGGAAAATCGCATATTGTTTGGTTTGGGGGAACAGTTTCAGACCAAAAGTGCTGTAACTGGCAGAGTTTTCACGATGGGAAGCTGAAATTTGGAACACTACAACTTCAGATGGGTGTGTATCTTTAGTGCAAATTTTAACTTTACATCTCTGATAGTCCGGATAGAGTCCGGAAAACCGGATTGTATCAATTTTCAAGATCTAAAATCAATTTTTGACTCACAGGTAAAGAAAGAATAGTTTGACACCAACAAAATGATATGAAGGGTTGATATTTCGACATAAGAGTATAATTATGTGCCAAATTACATTTGACGATTGGCAAGGCAACGGGGGAAATATCAGTATTGATATACAAAATGAAATACGAATGAATGCTTAATAAGGCTGATTTATTGGATTCATGCTTCTAATTTTCAGACACAGCACCATGTGGGATCAGCAGTTGCACAGCTAACATATTGTGGTTTACTACCGCCAGAACATTGGTGAGCACTGCCAACACATTTACCATTTCTTTGTTTACATTTATAACAACAACCTGGAATAGTAAATTTCAAGCATTGATCGACTTTCCATTCAACTAAAGAAATATTGTACGAGAAAAACGCCTATTCAACTATGTCGGAAAAGAGACACCCGCTGATATTGTTCAACTTAGGCAATCCTTATCACTTTTTAGTCCGGTATATGGATAAACTTGTAATTTGTAAATGTAATTGTAAATAATACATACTAATTATAATAACTTTTAGGATAATAACCAAACGAATTCACAGTAATAACTGAATACTTACTTCCAGCAGATGCAGTAGAAACAGCTGCTAAAACCAGGAGACCCAACAAAATAACGGTTGAAACTTTCATTTTTGATGGTTAAAGTATTTCTGTATTACCTCGAATGACGATTGAGTTTTAGTTCTGTCTATTATATACTTTTTCAATTCAATAGAAAAAATATTTAAAAAATTGTCATTCTGAAGTATTTGAAAAAATCATCTCTTCATGATGAATGATTAAAGGGACCGATTCAGATGGAAGAAATTTCCTAACGTAACAATTTTGGTTTTTCACTTCTTTTCATGGATTCAGATTGCTTTACTTGAGGAAATGTGCACTAGCAATCAATTTCCTCCTACATATTATTTCGTGATATTATTGTAGAAATTTTCATTATTTTTGAAAATAAATGTCTTGGTGTTTTGTTCACATATTAGTCTTTATTTTTAAACGATGAATGCATTTAATGGTACAATTGGTACAAATTGACTTGGTGTTTGCCTAACTATATGTAAGTAAAAAAATTGCCATAATTTCAAATGATAAGGATATCGAAAAACAGTTTCACTCATTCCTGTATTGTCTATTAACATCCTACATGTCGACGCCATTTTGATTTACTTTGTCAAATTCCACGGTCCGCTCATTACAGATTGTGCATAGAAAACTCACCCATTTCGTCTTGGAATATCTTCGGTCAAAGTTTCTTTAACTTCCAACAAACTATAGGATACTTATGATAATTTCATTTACGTTCACTTGTGAAACAAAATGTTTTATGCAGAATACATTAACTCGCCCGAATTGGTTTATATTAAGCAATGATATTCTTACTGAGCATTATAATTATGCGATGTTTTAGAATCAAATTAGTTCTACTTGATTGTTAGCTGTCATAACTCTTGGTGTCCGTTTATATTATAACGTGGTTATTCAGATGGTTTGCTTCAGAACAATTTGACAAGAGTGTCGCTACATGGTTGTCCATTTATTTCACAGGTTTGTTCCCATTATCAGGAAATACTAATTTTTTTTCAAAATTTCATGAATAGAAATGTTTCGTGTATGGTTAGAGCAAAAAAAAAAAAATAAAAAAATAATATAAATTGCTGAAAGAACGTTCTTTTACTATTTTGTGATTGGTACATGATCTATTTCTGCTATCGTATTTGTAGCTGGCCTTTTTACAGTCACTTTTTTGAAAAATCCAAATTTTAGAAGTACACCACGGCCAGTTTTACCTCTTACTGCAATTCCTCTAAAACTAAGTGTTTGACGACGTCACGACCTTATGTGATAATGCAAATTTCGCGATTAGTGACGTCATGAAACCCTTATTTAGTGGAATTGCAACTGTCCAGTGAGCAATTGTTTGGTGAGCAAATGTCCGTACACCAAACTCCCTAGCTCATTCCAAGCAGTTAATGATGAATATAAGGCACCAGTTGACTCAAGGCCCGTAGTTACAGACCCACCCCATTGAAATAGTCTGATAACCGAGCCATTTCATCAAAGCAACCCCACACCAATTTTAACTTTGTCGTAGTAAATACCTATTCATTCGTGTTCATTTGATTGTATTTGGTGCATATGGACCAATGTTATGTGGACAGAATAAAATTAAATACGACTTGTCTACGTGACAATATACAACTAAGATTGAGTTGGTTATTGAGACGGAACAGAATTTAATTAGGTTTAAATTTTGATCCGTATGCATCAAATACAATTAAGCCTGATTTAATTGTCTCCTGCTCCAATAATAATCATTTTTAATTTAACCTTATAATTTGTGTACACCACAGATGGCAATAATGGTCCCAATGGGAATACTACGGAGCCCCTTAGGCTCAATTTTATGTACTTTTATCAAATATTTCGTTTTGAAAATTGCGCCTAAGGGGTTCCGTAGAATACGGCAAGTCAGACAGAGTAAACATACTTTCTGCGCAGCATCGTATTGGACTTTGTAAATTTTTGTAACAATTAAGTTCAACTAAATCATTGGTTTTCAACCTGTTTTTGTACGTGTCCCAAAATCGAATCAGCATGAATATGATGTCGAAATTGTAACTATGATTGGATGCCAGGCACGTTCTCGTATAGTTTGGTAGTAATAATTCTCTGAGTACCCCTAGACAATGTTTATTAAGGCTGTGTATAGTGTAGTCATCATATGTATATATATTGTATAATTATATTGTAGTTGGAAAGTTCTTATTTTTCACGGCATGTGACAGGCTGTGACAAATGTACCAAAGAAAAGTGCAAATGTCCCCACCTTGAGACATGTCCCTGTGTTTGAAATCCTACGACCTAAATCAATGAAAACTTTCTATTTTGGTTGTAAAGACATGTTGACACGTTCAACCCAAGTCAAGGGCAATGACCCATGAACTGTTTGGCGAAAATTCGTCAGATTCGAACACTTCCGAGTAACTTTGGGATAGCGAAAAACAAGCTACCATATTACTCTACTTTGGGCTTCACTATCTCATAATTCAATAATGTTATCAGAAACGGACCCTTTCATGGGTAAAGATATAAACAAAAATGCCATTTTTAACCATTCAAAAACTTTTATTTGTATAATTCGAAGAAAGAAAAAAAATAATAAAATCCTTCAGATCCTTACCATGTCCCATATCTATTTCAGTCAAAAAAAGAATTTCCGAATTTTTTCAAACTTTCGAGAAAATCGACTTTGAAGTTCCACCCGAATTTTCAAGAGGAAAACCGCTTAAATTTTGGTTTAGTAAAAAATCTGAAACTTAAAGTGTTATAGCTGGCAGAGTTTTCATGATAAGAAGTTGAAATTGAGAACATAGCAACTTCAGATGAACTTTCAGTGCAAATGTCATTTTTCCATCTCTGATAGTTTTCGAACGGCAGCCTGTTAAAATGTTGATCTTCACCCTAACCAGTGCAACCAGACCCCCCCCCCCCCGTACTAAAATAGCCATAACGTCGCAAATTTGGACCCCAAAGGTATAAGTTTTATTGCAAACGACGGTTTGAAAGAAACCCTCAAGATAAGACACTCTTACTTGTAGCTGTCAGAAATGATAACAGTGTTTACATTAACTAAAATACATCTTTTCTTCAATTAAAGAACTTCGTATTGCATTTGTAGTTCAAAAAAGTATTTATATCTCAACAATTGCTCTAATACTCAGAAGTCTCCAATTTTGAAAGATTTTTAAGTAAAGGCAAAAAAGGGTTTTGGCAGGTTCAAAATTGACTTGGATCTCTTCAATTTATAAATAAAGTTTTGAAAATGTGGACGAATGGGCAGCAAAGAAGGAAATAAACGTGTTCATTCTCATTTTTGAATACAAAAGTGCAATTATGGGATATAGCCAGGTGATAGCTAACAACGGTTTGGGATACCAATAGACCAAAAGGTTGAGAAGCAAGACATTGATAAAATGGCCCAAAAATATAGTTACAAAACAAGTGGCAAAATAATTTCTTGGAACAATTTACAAGGAGCGAGGAGCGATAATAAAACATTGCCAGATCAAAATCAAGATAAATAATGAATTCCTATAATCTTAATTTATCTTGAAATTAATGGTATTGTCATCTTCAAATCCACAGTGGTCCAACCATTGCTCAGCTTCGTCTTTAGCTTCTAATGGTTGGTTGGTAGATGACAAGTTAACGTTCGCTTCCACCGGATGCTGATTTCACAAACTAGGTAGTTGTTGGTATAGTCGTAGTAGTAGTTGTTGGATTGGTTCAAATTGGATGATTCTATGTTGTTGTAGCTTCTAATTCAGACTTTTTATCAATGTAGTTTGCCAGAGCTGCTATGCTCGGGTATGAAAATATATTACATATCCCAATGTCGTATTCTGTAGACATCTTGATTGATGAAGCGAAACGTAGAAGGATCAATGAATGGCCCCCTTGTTCCATAAACGTCAGTTCGTTATCAATGGCACCAGCATCTAATCCCATTGCTTTGGCAAATAAAGCAGAAAGTATTGATACTGTGGACGAAACATCAGGTTGGGCATCATTTGATTTGGATTTGCCTTCTTTCAATAGATCCTCTATTTTCGGTAGAGCTCTTCGGTCGACTTTACCATTTGTAGTGAGTGGAATTTTATCAATAACATGGACGATGTCTGGAATCATGTAGTAAGGTAGAGTTCCCTTTAACTTTTGACTAACGCCGACTTTGTTTATAAATCCATCATCTTCATCATATACAGTAATAAAGGTGCACAACAGTTCAACTTCAGCATCATTAGAAAGTGGGAGTACACAAACAGATTTGATCTTTGAATCAATGGATGCAATCTTGTTTTCAATTTCTGTTGTACTTATTCGGAATCCTCTCAATTTCAGCATGTTGTCCAGACGTCCCAAAAGTTCAACATCTCCAGAAGGTAACCATCGAGCGACATCTCCAGTTTTTAAACTCATAGAATCAGTTAAAGGTAGACGAACCAAGTCGACATCTCCCTCGGCCAATACATCACCTCCAATGTACAGTTCACCAACTGTTCCAACAGGACAGAGTTGTAATGTATCTTTGTTGACAATATGATAGATAACCCCTGGTAGTGGTTTTCCGATTGGCACAGTTCCACTTGCAGTATCTGGAGGGCTACCCTCAAAGAAAGAAGAATCTATAGTGGCTTCTGTCATACCATAGCTGTTTAGTAATCTTTGATCTGCTCTCAGATGGCTCTTGATTTTCTTGTAAAGATGTGTTTGAACAGTATCTGATCCCAGTATTAGCGTCTTCAGGCTATTTAAATTTCCATCTTCTGCATTCTCTACCAGCTGTTGTCCAAACTGTGGAGTGACTTCCATGATAGAAACTTGATGACTCTGTATAGTATTCAGAATGTAGCCCACGTCAAGTCTCTTCTCATCAGGACATACCACTAAAGTTCCAGCAACAGAAATCAGTGCCCGCACCACATCACCAACAAAGACATCAAATGATAGCGGTGCCCACTGCAGAATCGTTACTTCACATTCCGTCATTTTGTAAGCCTTTTTCCAGGAGGAAGCCATTACTTGAAGACTTCTGTGTCGGATTTTGCATTGTTTTGGAGTTCCAGTAGAACCAGAAGTTCGGATGACATATGCTAAATCATCTATGGACGCCGTAACCGAAATATAATTTGACGTGTCATGGGCTATTTCGTTGACGTTGATAACTGGAAAACTATCTCCTAGTATGAAGTCTTCTGTCACAGAAGTCAGAACTAAAGCTGGGCTGCTTCTTTCAAAGATGTCGTTCATGGCTGCAGTATTTGACAAGGAAACGGGTAAGAAAAATCCACCAGCTTTCCAAATACCAAGGATTGCAGCAATGGCTTTTTCATCCTTCTCCATTACCAGAACAACAGGTTGTTTCTTGAGTATGGAAGGTTCCACAATGGACAATATGTGGTGTGCAACTACATTGGCCATGCGATTGAGTTGGTCGTATGTCAATTTACCATCATCACATACAACAGCTACCTTATCGCCGTGTTCTTTGGTGTGAGCTTCCAATGTTGATTGGCACGGGACATTCTTAACGTGTAATATTTCTTGATGTTTACTTAATGCCTGTAAAAGTTTTACTTCTGCCTTTGATAAAAATGATGTTTCTTGAAGTCTTCTGTCGATAGTTAAGTCAGTGCTTGAAAGGACTTCAAATAGACTTTCAAACAGTCGTTCTGCCATACCACTTGGCACAAGATCTTCTGCCCATTCCATTATTAATTCTGTTTCTCCTGATACTTTATCTTGTATGATATCAATGCTTATTGGCATCTTTGCATGTTTACTTGGAATTCTTATTTGAGCATGAGAGGATGTTGTCGCAAAATTAAACATAGCGATACATAATGTACTTAGAGACTGTCTATGTGTCTTCAATATAGAACTGGCCAGACAATTCATTGGGTAGTTGCTGTGCTCCATCACTTTCAGGAAAACTTCTGATATATTTTTTATATTTTCTTTCAAGGTCATTAGATAATTGGTTTTGATTCGTGGAACAACTGTGTTAACAAATAACCCAACGGTATGTTGGAATTGGAAAGATCGGTTGGAAATTGGTACTTGAAGGCAAATGTCACTGGTACCCAAATACTGCTGAAGAACCATTGCTGTTAGTGAGAGATGATACTGAAATGCTGTTATCTGTAGACTGTGACATATTGTCTGGACCATGGCCTGGGATTCTCTTAGCAGTATAGTCATTTTTTGGTTTGCTCGGTAGGTTGTTGTGTCATTCCAACTGCTACTTATATTACTTATCATTTCGCTGGTTAGAGGAAGCGTGGAATATATGTCTCTCCAATATACTTCATCCACCTCAAATTTGTTTGACTTGATATATTCGGCTTCAGTTTGCACTAATAGTTGATTTTGGTCTTTCGTGGTTTTAAATTCAGCTCCATTCAAAAGGTTATGTAGTGTTCTATTCAGAGACATCAGCGTCACATCGTCACATATTATGTGATGCACATGAAGTATAATGTGATGACGGTGACCAGCTGTAACGTGACGGAATCTGTATAACGGTGACGATAGAACAGGTATAACTGGCGTTGTCTCTTTAATAAACTCTTTAACGTCTTCCCCTGTTCCTATAATTTCTTTGTTGATTCTTGGTTCAAATTCGTAGAATTTCGTGCGGTATTCGCCATTCTCGGTGTTTTCTATAATAGTTTTCAATATTGGATGAGACTCCAGCAACCGCTTGAAAATATCGTCTGCATCAACAGGATATTGGACGTATGATAATAATGTCTCAGTATATGCTGATGACTCCGGTGTTTTTTCATGCATGACAATCATTCTTCTCTGTGCTGCAGATATCGAAGACTTATTCAGTGAGTCTCGATTTTCCATTTTGTAAGCTGTACAATAGATAGGCCTTTTTCTTTTTAGAACTGTATGACCAATACGTCTGTAACTCTTTCTCTATTAAATATACTTTTCTTTTTTTATGTTCTAGACGATTGACTGAAATATAAAATTATAGTCATTAATAATCCCACTTAGTTAATTTAACTTTTTTAACACGGTGCGTCTTCGTTAAAAATGACTTTTTGATCGCGACTACAACAATGCCTCACCTTACCAATATGTATGTTGCCGTCGCCCCTGTCCGTCCGTCCACATTTTTTCTATGCACTATAGAGACTACAGTTTTTATTCGATCTTGAAGAAACTTTGTATGCAGGTATATATTGATGAGATCCTGGTAAAATCGAAAATGGTAAATAATCGAATGATCTGTTTCAGAGTCATTGCGTCAAATTTGGCTTGTAAACACAATAGAGGCTACAGTTTTTAACCGATCTTGAAACTTAGTATGCATGAATATATTAATGAGATCTCATTCAAGTTCCGAATTTGTATTAATTGGATGATCAGAGTCGGAGTTATTGCCCTTGACTAAATATAAACGCGTCAAATTTCGCTCATAGGCACGATAAAGGCTACAGCTTTAAACCGATCTTAATGAAACTAAGTATGCATGTATATATTGAAGTTCGAAATTGGTATTAATCCGATGAACGTTTTTAGAGTAAGATAGCTTGCCAGGCAAGGTAATATACGCCCACTGGCAGTTTTGATTTTGAATAAAAATATTTAGCAGTACAGTAACAATCACCAGTATGAAATATTCAACCTTCAGTCATACACTTCTTTTGAACTCTTTATAGCGATACTGAATAATATGGATTATGAGTTATTTCCCTTGAAAACGTGTTAAATTTTTAGCTCGTGAAAACTCTAGAAGGCAAATATTCAATCTTCAGCGCGGGAATGAATAATAAAACCAAGTTTTGTCAAAATCCAGCAAGAATCATGCCTTTTAGTGTTTAAGAGCTAAATTTGAAAGCGTTTTCAAGAACAAAGGCAATAACTCATACTAAATATTTTCAAATTCTTCTGATTTTCAATAGGGTTCATCATTGGGTGATTACGAACACTCACACCAAGTTTGTAAAATCCATCAAGAATTGTGCCTTCTAGAATGATTACGAGCTAAAAATAGAACGAGTTTTCAAGAACAAGGGCAATAACTCATACTAAATATTGTTTGGTTTTTCTGATTTTAAATAGGGTTTATCCTTGGTTGATAACAAACACTCATGCCAAGTTTCGTCAAAATCCATCAAGAATTGTGTCTTCTAGAGTGTTTACGAGCTAAAAATTGAACGCGTTTTCAAGAGCAAGGGCAATAACTCATACTAAATATTTTTCGATTCTTCTGATTCAATAGGGTTCATCCTTGGGTGATTACGAACACTTATGCCAAGTTTCGTTGAAATCCGTCAAGAATTGTCCCTTCTAGAGTGTTAACGAGCTAAAAATTGAACGCGTTTTCAAGAACAAGGCAGAGTGTTAACCCTTGTGCTAGAACTTGGGGTATTTCGGGACCCCAGCACCGATTTTTTTGAATTTCCAAAATGCCATCGAAGATAACAGTTTGGTTATTTCAAACATTGTAGCTGAATGAATTTTTAACCTGTTCATGATCAGTCTACTGTGCAACAATCACAATTAGCGGATATGTTACCTTTTTAAATTGAAACACACCATGCTAGTATGTTGGGGTTCAGTTAGACCCCAGATAAATGCAGTGCTAAAACTGGATTTCAGAGAATAAAATTGAATTGTAATCTACTTATAAGTTATCTTAGGTTAAAGTCAATTTGGAACTAAACCGAAATGTCCCCATGTCAAAATGGCCCCAAAAGTCAAAATTAGTCGAAATGACCCCAAATACAACAGTCAAAATGGCCCAAAAATTACTCTTTAATTTCAACCAAAATCATTGGTCGAAATGATCCCCCCACCCCCAAAATTAAAAATGTCCCTATTTTGAAAATATTCTAACTTTGATAATTAATTATAATTAGTAGCTTATCTGAGTGATTATCAAAGACTAATAATAATAGTTTGTAACTTATGCGATGATTAATGAAAGAAAAAAGACAATAGTTTGTAGCTTATTGAGGTGATGATGTGTATATTTGTTTTGAAATAAATACTGTTTAAACCAAGTCAAATTTGTCCATGACAGCCAAGTAATATATAGAATTGGTTGAAAGTGGGGCCGAGTTTCAATACACCTGTAAGAATTGTATTGTACCATACGGAAACTATTAAAAAATCTTAACAACATTTGATAGATAATAAACATTGACACAGTATACATCATTTCAAAGATTAAGGTTAATCTGTTATGCACACAAATTAATTCAAATTATTAAATAAATTTATGGATATATTCAATATGAAGAGTACATAATATTTTACCAAGATGAGATCTGTTTAATATAAATACAGGTCAGTTGGTGAAATTACCTTGCTGCACTAATAATATGCCAACAACTCTTGATATTTTTTCCCGACAGGATATGCCGTGATACGACCAAAACACCCAATTGGTCAATAATTGAATCAAAACAGATGCACTCTGCTCATCCCTAGATCACAACCCGACCCTTATGTAATATTCTAGATTATAGGTTTGGCTTGAAGACAGGATGACTTTCGCATATCGATATAACTATCATCTTGAATAATTGATTTGGTCAACAAGGAGTCTTTATAAAGTATTATTTGCCACACCTGGGAATATATTTCAAGTTCTTTTGTTCAAAATTTCCATTATATAATAGGGGTTCCCAAATACCCCAGGTTCTATCCAATGTTATTCAAACGACGTGCTAGCACAAGGGTTAACGAGCAATTGTGGACGGACCAACGGACGGAGGGACCGACGGACATGGGTGACGGCAATATACGCCCCCCATTTCATGTGGGCGTATAAAAATATCCTTGTGTGTACATCGATGAGACCTTGTTCATGTTTGAATTTCGATGATAATTTGATGTAATTGTTTTTGAGGTTTTGCCTTGACTTTGAATTTGCACTCAACACAATTATAGAGATAATAAACACAAACAGACCGTACCAATTCTAATAAAATGCGTGGGTAATTGGTAAATATATGGTGATTGGTTTGAATTGGAAGGTGAGATGTACAGTAGAAATGAAATGAAATGAATGGAGTTTTACGTCCTACTTTTATGAGCAGTAGAGAGAGTACTTTTTGATTGGTTTTATGCTTAGACTCGAGAACAATGGGAAACAAATTCCGATAAGTAGAGCAAATGCTGGACTGTGAACAAAGGACTCGAAAACAACGGTGCCAAAGAGAACAAAGTATCCTGGAGACAATGCAGTGCCAATATTGGTAAAACAATGGTGCCAAAAATAACATATAATCCTGGAAGTGAGACAATGCGGTGTCAATATTGGTAAAAGAAGCAGGTGCGTCTTCGCTTTTGTTTTAAACTGGTATGACGTCATCTTTGTTTTTAAACAGGTGTGTGAGGTCGACCAGAAAGAGTTGCAACGGAGAAAAAAATGAAAAAATATTCATAAATCATAAATACAAACGAAATTTAAACATGCTGTCTAAGGATTTATACGTAAGAAACATTGGAAAAATGTCCAATTACGCAGTGGTTCCCAATTGCTGTAGAAACAGGTCGTTACACTAAGCGCTCCCACTCCCTAAGCAGATAGACAGATAGAAAATGTTTATTTTGTCAAGAAAATGTCATTGAAGAGGTGTAAAGAACTACTAATGGATTTTACATTCTATGTCTGTTTAATTTTGTTTAAATTATTATAAGATTTTAGTTTTTAGATCATAGAATGTTATTATCTGTTTATTTTATGTTTATTAGATAAACCACCCCATGCAGTGCAACTAGACTCTATAGGCGGACTGTCGACCCCCACCCCTCACTAAATTGACCATAACTTCACCAATTATGACCCCAGAGGTATATTTTTTGTTGCAAACGAAAGTTTGACATGTCTGCTATCTATTTCAGTCGAAAACGGTAATTCGGATTTTTGAAAAAGTTTCGGGAAAATCGACTTTGAAATTCAAGAGGAAAATAACATATTTTTTGGTTTGGGGAAAAAGTTTGAGACCAAAAGTGCTGTAACTGGCAGAGTTTTCAAGATAGGAAGCTGAAATTTCGAACACAACAACTTCAGATATGTGTGTATCTTCAGTGCAAATTTCATCACAAATGGTTTTTGAGCGGCAGCCTGTTAAAGTTTTGGTCTTCACCCCAACCAGTGCAACTAGTCTATAGGCAGACTGACGACCCCCAACCCCCACTAAAATGGCCAAACTTTCGACAATTTTGACCCTAGAAGTATAATGTTTGTTGCAAACGAAAGTTTAACATGTCCTCTATCTATTGCAGTCGAAAACAGAAATTCCGAACAGTTCAGAAAAGTTTCGAGATAAACGACTTTTAAGTTTCACCAGAATTTTCAAGAGGAAAATCGCATATTGTTTGAGACCAAAACTGCTGTAGAGTTTTCAAGATAGGAAGCTGGGATTTTGAACACAACAACTTCAGTTGGGTGTGTACCTTTAGTGCAAATTTGAACTTTACATCTCTGATAGTCAGGATAGAGATCGGAAAACCGGAATGCATCAATTTTAAAGATCTAAAATCAATTTTTGACTCACTGGTAGCTGTGGTATTTTACCATTTTGCACTTTTTTGGAGCCAGTTGAGGTAAGATTGTGAAATTTTGATACGTACTAGAACACACAGTAAAGAAGAGTAGTTTGACACCAACAAAATGATATGAAGGGTTGATATTTCGACATAAGAGTATAATTATGTGCCAAATTACAATTGACGATTGGCAAGGCAACGGGGGAAATATCAGTATTGATATACAAAATGAAATACGAATGAATGCTTAATAAGGCTGATTTATTGGATTCATGCTTCTAATTTTCAGACACAGCACCATGTGGGATCAGCAGTTGCACAGCTAACATATTGTG